CACAGCTTGATATACATGCTCAGGACAAGTTCTGCAGTCCTACTGTATGAGTACAGAATGTACATTGAGCACTGCTGTTCAGCTGGCTCGTTTGGGGCCAAATTTCTTTTTATTTTTGAAATATATAAAACAATTTATTTTATTTGGATTAATTTGTCTGTCTTTTATCAGATTGATCAATTCTATTTGTGTTGGTCAATTATGAATGATAGGTAAAACTGAAGTGCTAGCAAAAGCTTCAGAGAATTGGGTGGGGCCGAGGGGCCACTGCTGCAAATTAAAAAGAGCCAGAGGTGGACAAAGTACACAACTCCATTACTTAAGTAAAAGTACAGAAGTACTTGCTTTTAAAAGTACTTAAGTACCAAATGTAAATTTGCTTTTTTTTATGTCAATGCAATGTTTTATTCTTGTTGTGTGTAATACTTGCAATACCTTATGCCTCTGAAGCAACTTACAATACATTACACCTACTGAATACACTGACTATCTTGTAGTATATCTTTGGAGTAAAGAGCTTTTAGAATGTTAAAAACCTATAGAAATTAAACAAGTGAGTTAACAAAAAAGAAATTATTTAACACCCCTAACCCACCCCCACAGAGCAGCATGGTAGTGATCTCACACAGCTCTGGCAGTGTGTGCACCAATCTACGTGTAGCCATTCATCCACATTTGAACTGAGTGGACGGTGAAATTGTTGTAAATACAGACTGATTAAAAAATAAAATAAAATCAAACCTGCTTTAAAACCCAGCAACACAACTGTAGCTGTATAACTTTACAACAGCAACACTGCTTTAACAAAAAAGCAAAACAGCAAGATTTATTGACATCAAAACAAACATTCAAAAATGCTCTCTAATTGGTACGAACAGAACGATCTGTGCAGTGCTGCTTCAAATCAAACACCTATTGTTTTTTGTTAGGAGATGCACAACAGTTCTGTGACTTTACAGGTAATATTTAAATTTACACAATTTTGCAAAATCAGACAATATTGTGT